AACACAAATGGTCTTTTCCGTAGTAATATGGTTGGAATGGAAGTACCTCTGATGTCATCAATGGTTTCTTAATAACTGTCGTACCGTCCTCAAAGTACATTTCCATGATTTGGAATAACGTGATCTTCGCCTTTGAAGTCGCTCTTTGTGTTTTACTGTTCACTTCAAACAAGACGACTCCGAACTCTTGGGGGTAATATGACGCCTTGTCGGTGGTGATTTTCATTTGATAATTGTCGAGATCAAATGAGACAAGCGGCGTCGTTATAACCTCGTTAAATGTTTGTCTGACGACAATATCCTTTTGGTCGCCAAGGTACATGACGCCTCCTTGTCTTACAAACAGGTCGATCCTATTCATTACCTCACCGGAAAGACAAATTGTATTTGTAATAGTAAAAGAACTAACACTAAATAGTAACAAACCTATAAGTATGAGTCGCAAAGAGTTTGAGGGATTGGAATATGAGACCACTTCCCATGACAAAGGAACACTCTTTTCCTGTAAATGGTGCTGTACATGGTAACGTGAAACTGTATGAAAGGGGATAGACACGATGTGGGAAGTCGTTTTTCAGTTCAAAATAGTTTTTTGTTTGTTGCTTTGCGTTGGGGGGAAATTTCGCGTCAAAATTCGATTTTGAAATTTGGCCAAAACACGAGATGAGGAGCGTGAGACTCTCAAACGGTGGTAAATTCGTCAGCTTCGGAGAGACGGTCACCAATACTACATCTCCTTGCAAATACGATATCCTGTCCGTCTGTATCTCGAAGAACCGCGACTTCATATCCAATTTGCCTTCTATCCCTCCCCGGCTGTATGTCATCTCCAAGACTTTCAAGTTCTTCTCTTGAACTATAGAGTATTCTATTTATTTCTATTGTAATAACTATCGTTATTTATTATATTTTTATAGTAATAAAACTATTCCATATACCAATTTTAATATAGTAAAATAAAGCTAGAGTTATAAAATTTGTCTTGAACCAAATGCACTGAAAAACACGATTAGTTACTCTCCATCGTGCAGTACTGAGTTCAAGCGTTGGATGCTCTCCTTCGGCCAGTCCCACATGACTGTGACGATGTTAAGGAATGATTTCTTTTTCTCTGCGTCCCATTCAGACGACATTCTATTAATTAATTATATACATACTATAAATAACTTCTCTAGTAAATAAGCAAACTTTTTGAAGAAAGTAATGACATGAGGGGGCCAAGTCTCCCAGGCTTGGTCTTCATTTTTGCGGGCGTACGACGCAATGTAACTCACAAAAGCCGCAATTTCTGAGGCACTCCAGTTTTTGATGATTTGATTGACAAAGACCTCTAAAAAGGGTTCATATGTTTTCAGTCCCCAATTGCCCACCGCACTCAACACACAACGGGTCACTTCACTCCAATTGAATTCTTCCCGTTTCACTACCCATTGGTAGATACTCGCTAATCGTTTCGCTCCATTCTCATCACGACCAAGCACAAATACAGTCTCATTCGGTCCAAGGTTCTTCCCATCAGTACCAACAGCCACCGTCGAGTCTCCTTGCATCCCAGCAACGACGGTTTCCAAATCTTCTAAGTCGCCATCGCAAAAGTCGTCCCACCAAAATGCTGCGATGACATCGTCTTGCCAAGTCGATAAGACGGCTTGCATGATGGAGTATAAATACTGATCACAAGTCACTTTCCCAAGGGTCACCATGAACTCCTTGATCTTTGCAGGATCCCATTTCCCTTCTTCGGCTTGGATACGTTGTTGGACTTGTTGCCAAGGGAGGGGTGTAGCCAATGGGTCATTAGAAGAAGGTGCATTACCCTGTGTAGTGGTAATTGGCGTTGTTTGTGATTGTTGTGTTGTCTGTTGTGCATTTGAAGGTGGAGAAGGGGGTACTTGAGCTGGGGTGACTGATTGTTGTTGAGTGTTAGACCCAAGTGTCTTGACATGTGCATTAATAGCATCGACCCACGACTTTGCGTCTTCGACAGTATCAGAGTTAATTTCCTGAGTACGGTGAACGGATTTAATGACTATAGTGGGCTTTTTTTGATCAAGGACTAATGTTGCAGAAGAGTTTCCGTCCAATTCGATTATACCCTTCGGTTGAGCACTACCAGTGTTTTTCGGGAAATACCATATGTACTGCTCCTTCATAACAAACCATCGCTTTTTCCACGTGTGAAAATCAGCACCCTTCTTCACAAGGTACCCTTCCTTAACACATGGCTTCAGCTGTCCCACTTGAGTCTTTTTTAGCTTCGCAAAGTTCGGATGGTCACTCATTCGAATTAATGGAATTGCAGTTCTTGCATTTTATTCAGTTCGTCGGTTTTGAATAAGAAGTTTTAATAATTTATACTTTGATTCTTTAGCTTTGATTCTCGTTTAATTCAAGAATCGCATTAGGAATATCACGGGCTACTCTATTTGGATATTTTTGGTCATATTATAATTATAGTTCTGATATAGTTTCCTATATTAAATAGTAATTCGAAGAATTTGGATATTATGAAGTTGGAATTGATATGAAAAAGAACTGATAAGTAGAAGCTATTAATCTATAATGGTTTAAACCATTTTTATAATTAATCATACTATTATTTACTATAAATATTTTTTTTAAACATTCGACTAGTACTTTTGGAGTTTAAAGAACTCAAAATGATGTATAAAAATGATTTTTAATGACTCATTTTATTTAGTCTTTTTTATATTAAATTTAAATTATGAAATATATAATTTTACAACTTATATTAACCAATATAACGAATTTGCCGTAATAGTTTTTTTGTAGTTAGACTAACCCCAGTTATAGTTTGAGTGTGGCTTTCTAAACTCTATTTAAACAGTCATATGACTTAATGGTTTTAAACTTGGGCAAATTAAAAATCGTTCGGCATACTTTGAATTGAAAATAAGCTTAAATGTTCCCATATTTGCTGATTACTCTTATTTCTTATTAAAATATAATTTTAAAAGATAAAGGCTATTTTCAGAAATAGATAAATAATAAAAAAAATTTAATTATTTTTAATTTTTTTTTAATAAAAAAATAGTGTAAAGTCACTCTACCTTATACAATACCTTGTATTATGAATTTTAGTTACAGTGGGTGAAATAAGCCTATAAAAATGAAAGAACAGTATAAAAACGAGGGTGTCGTTTTAATTGGTCATTTTTTTAAAAAAAGCATTAATTGGTCAATATATTTAAACCCTGGTTTTTGTAAAAACAAAACAATAGTGAAAAACCACTTAAAATACAGTAAGACCTCGATTATTTCCATTTTTTTATTTTAAAAACCTTGACACTTTCCAAATTGAAGATTTTGAATTTTTTAGTAAATTGTTATATCAGCTAATAATTAAATTAACTAACTTAAGATTACCTCGCATTTTTCCAAAAAACTTCAAACAACCAATCAGATCTTTGAATTTGTCGAGGTTTGGAAAATGTCAAGGTTTGGAAATAATCGAGGTCTTACTGTACACAATTTTTGAATTATATAAATTATAATAAACAAGATGAAATATAAAATTTACTTATTAAATTCCCGAAAGAACTTAAAACGAAGACAATAAAAATTGAATCAATACAATGCTCTTTCCTTTCGATAATTTAAGTACTTTCTTTTGCGAATATATTTGATTTTGACCGTCTTTGAGTTTCACATTACAATAACAAAACTACCGCCCTGTTTCTTCCATGGGTATAACAAATATAATGAATCAATTATACGCCTAATTGATTCATTATAAAGCACATTCCTCATTGTTAACAAGAAAAGAGATCTCTTGTCGCTACCGTCATACCCGATACCTGAGTTCATTTTTTGTTACCACTTTCTCGGTCCTATTTTGTGACTTTTTGACTATTGATAAAGAACTTTTAGTCTTTTTCCCTTTCATGCGTAAACGCTTTTTAAGCTCAGTTTCTTCTACTAAATCTACATCCGTCTTTTAGGATCGATTCACCCTATTCCAATTAATGTTGTCTAGGGACCTTTCTCCTCTTCAGTCCTTAGATATTTTTTTCCTCTTCTAAGTATTTGCTACTTCCACCAAGATCTGTACTCAAGTCTGTTTCAATAGAAATTACTTCTCTACCTTTATCACTCCTGTATTCTTGACACAATGCATTTCCTTACTCCTCGTGTGCCTGAGCATTCACAATAATACTGTTTATTATTTTTTTCAGGGTAAAAAAACAAAACCTGTAATTATATTATAAATTATATAATATATTATCTATTAATTTTTTGGGATAAAAAGCGGGAAAATTAGCAAAACATTCCAAATATTAAAAAGTAGAATATGGATTTTTATGTTTTTCTTGTTTAAAATACAAAAATAGCCTCAAATACTCCAAATTAAGTATCAAAACCCTTGTTTTTATACCATTCTTTCATTTTTATAGGCTTATTTGACCGACTGTATTATGAAAAAATAAAAACTTGAAATTATACAGAAAAATACGATTAAACTACGAGTTTGACTATTTTCTGGTGGTGTTTAAATTTTATGTTATTGTTGTTTTAAAAAACAATGTTTCATTGTTGTATAACAAATAACACAGAATAATAAAAAACACATTTGTATTTTCTTTTTTGTCATATAGCCGAGTCTTATTGTATTGGTTGACTTTTAATGTCTAACTGTGTCACGGTTTTACAGATAACAAAACAGTAAAATATATTATGTTATCCAACAGATAACCGTATATATACTACATTGTGTTATTGGATGGTAAAGGTAAAACGATAATAAAAAAATAAATGTAGTTATGTGGAGTGTCTGGTTTATTCCAGTATTTGTAATGGTTGAATTGTAATATAATTGTTGTGAGGTTTTAAAAAAATATTGAATTAATGAGAACAAATTGCAAAAAATGAATTGTAATAATAATGACGGACTTGGAAAAATGAACAACACACAACAAATAGATTTAATCTTAGAAATAGTGTGATGAAAATTTAAATGTGAAGAAAAAGATACCTCTTCCGTTGCATTTTGAAAACCATTTTCTCAAACCATCAAAAAGTCCCGAATATCATCGTATATTTATAGTAATATTAATAAAGTTGTGAAAAAGTGGTGAAAATGTCGACGACCAAAACAACAGAACTTGAATAAGTGATCTTTCCAATTTCTGACCAAATTGGTGAATGGAATTGCTATAATAGACCGTCGTTGTGGGTCTTTGATTCTTAATAAAAATGTTAATTATGAAATAATAAAATAGTTACAAATGCACAGGAATAATTCATATTTGATTAAGATGGAGTCAGGGTGTCTACGTCACACGGCCAATAAGAGGGGTGAACTCTGAAAGGAGTCATTCGATGTTGAGCACCAGTTTCTCACTGTTTTTGACGTCCTTTGTTGGAGTCAATGTGTGTCTGTTGATAGGGACTGTTCTCAGCAAATTGAACATCATCACAAGTTACACATCGCGAAAAATAGTCCACATTTCACTTGGGACGTGTCAGCTTGCACTTTGGGGGTTGTATCCTGATGAAATGAGTGCACGTGTCTGGGGGACGATGTGTTGTTTGATCTATGTTGTAGTCTTTCTTGTGTTTGGACTTGGTTTATTCCAAGGTAAGATCTGTGACTTTCTTGTAGCGACTGTTTGTCGCAATGGGGATTACAAAGAGATGTTGTATGGCCCACTGAATTATTGTGTGACTGTTTCACTGCTCTCGCTTGTCTTTTGGAGAAACTATCCGCCTTCAGTCATTGGATGTGGTCTTCTCTTGTGGGGTGATGGGATGGCTGAGATCATTGGGAAAATGATAGGGCGAACTGAAGTGATGAATCCATGGGGAAAGAAAAAGACAATTGAAGGTGCAATTGCAGTGATGGTATGTGGTGCTGTTGGTTCAATGGTGATGTGCAAGATGATCTTTGGAGAGTACTACACACTCTACTGTCTGATCTTTGGCTTCGTTGGTGCTCTTGTCGAGTTCTATTCGTATCCCAATTACGACAATGTCTTCATTCCACTCTCTTCTGTTGCAATGGGGTACTTCTTGTTCTAATCAATTTCTTGGCATTTTCTATATTTATAGTTGTTTTTGTTATTAAGTATAAAATGTGTTTATTTTGTAACTATATCAACCAATTTAAATAATTAAATAATAATAATTTCAATTCACTTGCTTGGTGCTAAATTTTCTGGCTATATTAACTACAATCTCCACAGCTTTTACCATCGACTCAACTACAGCGAACTCTCTTTTTGAATGGAAATTGATTCCACCAGAAAACATGTTGATCGCATCAATACCCTTTTCAGCCAACACACAAGCATCAAACCCTCCTCTGAATGGAATTTTAATTGGTTTAACACCAACTTCTTCCATAGCCCCACACAACATCTTCTCAATTTCGTCGTTTTTCAAGAAGTTACGGACATTAGAATAAGTTCTCACCTTTTCAAACACAATTTTCCCTGTATATTTCGTTTTGATTGTGTCGCAAAGGTTTTCCATTTGTACCACAAAGTTATTCAGTTCGTCTTCTTCAAATGATCGGATGATAAACTTTGCACTCGCTTCATTTCCTTTCCCTGAAAACCCAGTGCACAAGACAAAACCGCTTCTATCTTTTGTGTTGGACGGGTGTTTGTGTGGCATTGCTCCAAAAAAATCAAATAAGGCGCACGACGCATTCCGGCACTCGATTGTAATTCTGGCGCTTATTGCGTTAAAATTTTCTGATGAATAACTTCCAAGCTCATTTCCGTCCAATGATATTCCGCGCTTTGCTTCAACTCTTTCCACTGAAATGTTTGATATGCTTTTCATGATCTCCTCATCAGGAGTGAAAACAACGGTAATTGGCAAGTCTTCGTCTTTTACTATTGTGCAAAACGTCATTAGCTCGGCAACTGCGCATTTGTCATCAGCACCCAATAAAGTGTTTCCGCTTGATGTGATTATTTTTTGGTCTTTGTATTTCTGGAGTTGAGAGGATGGTATTACGGTATTGTCAAATGGAAGGTGGATGTCATGTCCTGTTACAACATATTCAAGAGGGACAACGTTGTGACCTGAAACTTCTTCGGACGTATCAACATGACCATAAAAAGAAAACTGTGAAGGGTTGGAAGATAAATAAGCGTACAAATGACCCGTCTTTTCATCTAAAAAATTTCGTATTTTTAAACAATCCAATTCGGATTGAAGGTGTTTTAAAAATAAAATTTGTCCGGGTGTTGAAGGTGTTTGTGTTGATTTTGAACTACTCTGGGTATCCCATGTAACATACTCCTTAAAACGAGTCACTACATCATTCTCAATAAATGACCGAAATGAAGAATCTGTAAACTGTAAATTCATTTTGTAATATTAGTTTTGTATTTGGAGTTCTAAATAAATATCAAAGTGTTGATAAATTATAATTTTGTAGATTGAATTTTTGAATTTGTCAAAGTTAATAAAATAAATTTATTTTAAATGAATTGATGTTTGGTTCATATTATATATATTATAATAAAAATATGAATTTTCTATAATTTTGATAAGGAAAACGAATTTCGTTAATCAACGAATTATTAAAATAATTATATAGCTTCAATATAATTTATGAAAATAAAAACAAATAAAAATTTAAAAAACATTTATTAATTAATTTTATGATAAAAAAACAGCGAAAGTCAGAATATTTAAATATATCCTTTTTGTCGCATTTAATTATTTTGTTTTATTTTGCGATAAAATGTCAATTTTATTTGAGTGTTTGGAAATCTTTGTAAACAAATTGTACTCAAAATATTATACTTACAAATTTCATTGATTATAATTTAAATTAACATAATAACACAATAAAAATAGAATTGAATTTATTTTAACTCTTTTTAATTATTTTTGTCAAATATTATAGGTCAAAAAATTGTTTATTCAAAACAACAATAAATCCGAATGATGTTTATTCAAAAAAGTTGATTTCTTTTACGGAAAACTGTTGCCAACATTAATCTAACTCTCATATAGACAACAGTGTTGTTACCACACAAGTATTATCACAAACGTAAATAAAATTGCCCAATATAAATAAGCAAATTATTTTTAAAATTTATATTGTTGGCATTGTAAAATAACAATCACCAACATTTTTTTGTTATTCTTTTATAATCAAGTCTTTTTAAAAATAAAATATAAATTTTTATACAAATCATATTATTTATATTTCTTTAAGACATTATTTCAAAATCTCTTTATATAATTTAAATTGAATGAATGTCACATTTTAAAGATATAATTGCACATACTTATCTATTATTTCATTTATTCATTTTTATGTTTTCAAAATGTATTCCATTTTATTAATTTAAGTATTTTTTATAAGTTAAATAAAACACATATATAACAGTCAATTGTTTTGTTTTGAACTCATCAAAATGGAGTTGAATATATTCAATTTAATATTATTTGGACTTTTTGCTTAAAAGCCAGTTTCAGACAAAGCAAATAAATCGAGTAATATTAATTCCTTAAAACTTCATATTATTAATTTTCTTTTTATTTTCAATATTGTCTTTATAAATGAATAAAGAATTCTAATAAGTAAAACATAAAGTTCAAGTTAGCTCATATTAATTTGATTAATCGTCTCTCTGAACCATCTCATTATCGCCATTCAGTTCAAATACATAATTTAACTAGTATTCATTGTTTGATCATTTTCATGTTGTAAATAACAACAATTATCCCACACAGCAAAATAGTTAACCAAAAATAATTGTTTGTTTTTTTAGTTAGCCACGTCACAAAAAATGTTACACGATGTTCTAAATGTTACGATTTGAAAAATGCGCAGGTATTCATTATTTCTGTGTGTAGGCACCATCATATTGACACTCATTAGTTTTAATAATTATCAATTAGTTATTAAACAATGGTCTTTTTTCCAAAAAATCATTGAGCTAAAAAAGCAAATCTAATTTAAAAAAATAGAAAATTTATAAAATATTACACTTATTATACTTTTTATATTTTCAAATTAAAAACAACAACATCGAAACCATAAAATATTATAAACAAATCATAAAATTACATTTAACAATTAAACATTTTCTTCAAAGTCTCAACAAACAAAAGACAAAAAACACAATTTACAACAATTAAAACCATCTATTTTCGTTCTCCATAACAACGAATGAGTTTTTATCAGCACAAACAAAGCACCCACTCAGGTGCTTTTCTGGAGTGTCCTTGATTTCCTTGTAATTTTGTTTCAGAAAGAAGAGGACTCTCTGTCTGTTTCTGATAGCTCTAGCTGTTCTCCCTGGCAGTAATTTGTTCATCAAAGTCCATTTGTTTCCATTTCTCATGTACATATCAATAATGATTTTATCTTCAGATTGTTTCCAAGGTGCCGTGTTGATGTCCGGATTGACGAAGTTGATATACCGTTCTCTGCACTGTTTTCTTGACCTTGTTCCAACGTGTTGAGACACCTCCACCCAGTGTCCATCGCCAAACGTTTCGACTGCCTGTTTCAATAAAAAGTCTTCACTTTCAGACCACGACGTTGGCGACTTTCTTTTCTTTCTACTTTCATTCTCAAAAGAGTTTGTCTTTGACTCTGTGATGGTGTAGTTGTGCTCGCAAGACATTGTTGTTTTTAGAAAGTTCACACCCTTTTTATTATATCTTTGTTTATTCTATTGGCCTCTTTTTCAAAACTGTACAACCAATCAAATTTGAGTTTTCATCTATCCGTGAATTCCGCCAATTAGAGAATATCTATCTTCTTTCTGGCTTTGTTCTTGTTATAGAAATGTTCCAACACCGCATTACCGAAACGGTTTTCTGCTTCATTTTTATAATTCATTTCTTATTCTTATCCCTCAGTTTGGCATGGTTCTTTTATTGTTTAATTATAGCAAAGTTATAGCTCAAAGTGCAATAGTTTGTTTTGGGTTTTTCTTTTTAAATGAAAATGCCGAATTAGTTTTCGGTTATTGAATGAAGGCAGAAACAATAGACTGTTATATGTGGTGGTTAATTTGTATAAAAGGTGACCAAAAGTGAAAATTGTCTTTAATGATTTAGAATTATAACGATGTTATAAATTATTTTAAACAATCGTACAAAAACGGGTTCACATCATCAGAATAACTTTTCCTATATAAATTGGCACAATCAATTGGATGGTGTTCATTAAAAAGTTAAAAAGAATCTGGACTTTGAAAAAGTGTTTTTGTTTTATTTTTTCGTTCCAAAACCCTGAGCATTATTTAATGGATACTTTTTTCTTTGTTGCAAGACGAAGTTCTTTGCAAGATATAATGGTATCACTGGATATCGACTACAATTGGGAGAATCACAGGTAGTGTAAAAAGATAATACCAAGTTACTTCCGTCAACAGTTTTCTAAAACAAGACTCTTCGCCATATGTTCTTTTATTTTGGTTTATAGACGTTCTGTGAATTCCAACTCCCAGAAAAAAAATATTTTTGGTGATGACATTCATAATTCAACAGGTTCAATAACTCCTTTAATAAATAAAAAAAACTAAACAAGGTTACCAAACTCGATTTTTTAACTCCAACTTCTTTTTTTGTTTGTTCAAAAGTATTGTTGGAAATGATCCTTCTGTATTAATTGCAAAGAAAAAACCATTTCAAATAGTTAATTTATCAATTTATTCAAATAAATTTTTACTAATAAAAGAACAGTAATTAACTAAACTAAAACAATTTAATTCATTTTGAATACGTGAAGGACAACTACAAAGAACAAATAACATTTTAAACAAAAATAAATGTGATTCTAATACTTTACATTGTTAATTTTATTATAGTTTTCATATAGAAACCAACATTGGTTTCCAATGAATAATAAAATTGAATGATGACAAGAGTAGTTTAAAATGGAAATAGAAAACAGGAAGCATGTACGTGTTTTCTAAATTGTTTTAGTAAATAAAAACTAATATACAGTTCACCACAACTGAAAATATAGAATAACTGTTGATTAGACGAACACATTTTCATAATAGTATATTGAAGCACTGTTAGGCGATTTTTAACTATTTTTGTTTTATAAAGAAAAACATGTTTAATTTTGGTTGACATTTTATTATGTAAATATAAATTTAACTGTTAATAATCTACCTGATATAATAGTCATTATTAATTCATGTATACTTTTTGGCATCAATTTAAGATTTATTTCCATATATTGTATTATTACTTCATTGGTTACATGGAAAATATGAGTTACGATTTAAGTTTTTGAAAAAAAACGGAGTGTTTTATTGAATAAAAGTTTTTTGAATAGTATGTAATATAATAAATTAACCAAATGATTCTTTTTATAATGTTAAAATCTTTTATTAAAAATAAATGAAACAATATTTTGAATAAATAAACAGTTTAAAAACATTTGTGTATAATAAATTGAACATTTTTATTTTGTTGAATAAAAAAAAGTTAATACTGGTTATTATTTTACTATGTTTTTATTCATAGTTGATTGATTAAATTATCTATACTTTATAGGTATTATTATTATATTTTTTAATTTACAGTTTCGATTTTGGTTTATAATGTTATACAATTATTAATATTTGACAACAAATGAAACTTGAGATTATTAAATGAAATAAAATTATTAATTATAAAAATATTGTAACACCAAAAGCTTTTTAAAATTTATACAAATGAACAATTTTAGATTGTTTGATTTCGTTAACCCCCACCAATAACAATTTAACGCCAAGTTGTTATTTGTTTATTTCAACAACAACTCCATGTTATTTATTTATCCACAAACTTTGTGGATCAATAAATAGATAAAAGCATGAAAACTAAAAAACATATTATCCGGTTTTAAAACATACTTTAACAACAAACAACGACTATTAATAATATTAATCAATAAACATTAAATTACAAAAAGTATTAAAAATAGACAATTTTTAAGTTGTTTATTTTCAATTTATTTTAATAATACACCGACACTTTTAATTTTTATCGCAATACAAAGCTTTAAAATCGTAAAACTTTTAATGACAATTTGTTTATTGAAAACGTGATTTATAACAGTTTTATAATTTAGTCTGTTTTTTTAACTGTAATTTAGTTGAACTTTTTCAGTTTTAATGTCTAAATTAATAACTTCCATTATGATAATTATTTTACTAATATTAAATTGACTGAAAAAATACAGTCATTTTTCGTGTTTTTTCGGGATAACACAAATAATAAAATTAATAATTTATTTTTAATTTATTAATTTATTGATTCCAAAATTTAATATTTTGATAAATTAGTTTAATTTAATAATATTCAGATAAATTTGTAAAAACTAAAAAATTGAAAAGTTAAAAAATTTAAAAAATTAATAAAACACTTTTTAAGTTTTTTATTAATTTTGTTTTAAATTATAAAACAAAACATTTCCAATTGTTATTTAAAAAAAAAAAATCATTTTAAAAGATTGTAAATAACTTTTTTAAATTATTGTTTACCATAAGAAACACAAATTAGAACAATAACTATAAATATACTAATAAAATAACTAGAAATCCTTCCTTCTCAAAGTTCCTAGAAAAAAAGACAAATTTCTGGTCATCTTGAAAAACAACTGAACTGAGTTCATTTCCTTCATGTCAGACGAGAACAGCCCAAACCAAAATTTTGAAGAATACGACGACTCAACAGACTCGTCCGAGGAAGAGTTTATACGCCAACAACAGGAGAAGCAACGCTTACACCTTCCAAGGAAGAGTAGTACTATTCTCATAGAAAAGACCAAACCTGCTGTTTTAGTTGAAGACAAAGACATCGACGTCACCGAGTTTGACAGCGACGACGAAGACTTAAACGCTTCGCACATTTCAGTCTACGAAACAACTGAGAAATACAATGTTGCGATTTCACAGACGCGAGGAAGACGGAACTACAATGAAGATCGAACTTGTGCGAAATCCATAGACCCATCAAATGCACTCTTTGGTGTGTTTGACGGCCATAATGGACACGAAGCTGCGACGTTTTGTCGCGATAACATCAAACAGATCTATCAAGACCAAAGTTTCGACTTAACAAAGACGTTTGAAACGTTACACAATGAAGTTGCGAAGACGACGGGAGCCGGATGCACCGCGACTGTTGTTGCGATCAAAGGCGATGAAGCCTTTTTTGCGAACGTTGGAGACTCCCCCGCCTTTGTTATTAAAAGTGACAACTCCATTGAAAAGATGTCGTACAGCCACAAAACAAACGACCCTTCTGAAGAAAAAATGATTGTTGAGAATGGGGGAGTGATACTCAATTTGTTCAATACAAAACGAGTCAACGGACAAATCATGGTGACGCGAAGTATCGGAGATAAGGCGCTGCACCCTCCATTGTCGAGCACGCCATCATTGTATTCTATTCCGTTGAATGAAATAAAGAGCATTGTTTTGATGAGTGATGGTGTCACTGATGCCTTGACTGACTTGGAGATCCGGGACGTTTTGGTGGCCGAGAGTAGTGTTGTCACTAAAGCACAAACGATTAGAAATATTGCGTATAAGGGCGGAAGCAAAGACAATATCTGCGTGGTGGTCATTGAACTCTAATTCAAGTCGGCTTTATTTTTATTCAGTGTTTGTTTGGAAGAGGCGTGAAGTTGTTTTTGAGACGAAAGAGACTGCACAATTAATTGAGTAAAGGCTCTTGAATGGATTCTTCTTTGGGAGCGTTAGATATGTCGTGTTTGTCATCGTCTAAGGCATCTAAGTGGTCGTAAGCATGAAACTCATCTGCTTCTTCATATGTAAAAACGTCTGTTTTGTATTTGATGGGCCACCAATTGAATTCTTTAAATAAGTGGACGAAGGAAGGGACGATTAAAGTCCGGACTATGAAGGTGTCTGCTAAGACGGAAAAGGTTAGAACAAAGGCAAATAAGTTGAGGACTAAAAGACCAGATAAGAATAAACCAGAGAAGGCAATAGCCATTATTAACCCACAAAAGGTTATCAAATAACCAGTCCTTTCAACTCCATATATTGTGGCTATATCTGTAACATACCCACGCTCACGATACTCTCGGATTCGACTGAACAAAAAAATATCATAATCCAAAGAAAGACCACATATGATTGGAATACTAATTAATGGCACGACCCAATATATCCCATGTGTTTGTTCGACGGAATCAATGAAATCAAAATAATCATTACAAAACACCATGGAGGCACACCCATACACAAAAACTATTGTCAAACACGTCGTGAAAACAACTCGCAGAGCTACTAAGAGACTTTTGAAGAAGATTAATACTAATAGTAATACAACGACGACTAATATGACCAAAATGAATATAAAATAATACATGGAAGCATTCACACAGTCCACTCCATCTATTATTATACCTTGTATTAATATAGAATATCCATACTTCTCTATATAATAGTCTAAATGCTCTCTTATGTCTGCTACAAATTTAGTCGAATTGTTTGTTGGATCATTTGTAGGTGTTAATAAGAGTTTGACGACACTTAAATCACCACTCACACAGTTTTTGATCACATTTTGATATCCCTCCAATTGTAATAACTTCTTTAACTCGTTGGGTGAGAGAACTTTCCCACCCGCCGTGTTAAATGTCACCATCGAATTGTTATTAAACCCATACGGCATTTCTTCACTAAATCCAGACACCAACTCCTCTGTAAATTTGTAATATAAATCAGATGTGATGTCTACCTTATTCTTGCCGTCATAAACTAGTAAATTGAATGGATATAACACACCTATGGGAAAAGCGTGTTGCAAGTTCTCAAAGCCTTCATCAAATTCAGTGTTCATTGGGACGACTTGGTTGTTGTCCAATGTCCACTGAAATTGATATACAAAAACACAAAATGGTAATAACACTACTACTCCACCAATTAACATGGAGATCGACACAATCGGTTTCGACTGGAATGTTGCAAACCAATGCCACGCTTTATCGCCAAGTCCTTCAAATCTTGCTCTGCGTTGTGTGTATCGGACACACTTCTTAGAACACGGCACACATGACTGTAATCGGAAAAATCGTGGGAAACAGAGGAAGAGTGCGGGAGTCATAGTCAAGTCGACGATCAATGTGGTTGCAACACATAATGTGCACCCAAACCCAATCCACCGAATAATATCAAATGGAAAGAGTGTAATAACAGAGAAACATATCAGCATGACGCACCCACTTGTCCCCACAATTCTTCCCGATGTTCTTAACATGTTTTTGACAGCTTCATAGTGGTTTTGTTGTTTATTAATTTCTTCAGTAAATCGCGTGAGGAGGAACAACGAATCTTCAAATTATTTCAATTGAATTTGACATAATATAACACTCCAATATCACAAAAAAAAACAAACAGTCCACTGCAGTAGCTGCAATTGTACTCATCATCATAGCAGGAGCAATACCAATTCGTTAGTTGTTCTATATTTAATAATCGAAATACTATTAGTATTAAATTATAATATCTTATTATAATTAATTATAAGTATGAGAATAAAGAAGCACAAACCAATAATATCAACATATAAGGACAATGGGTACATCAGTCCAAATGAGATCACTATAATAGCTAATATGTTACAGAGGGGTACTACTAACAAAACTGGAGATTGGACGACGTACAACAATATCAATAATGCTATTGGTAACACACAAAAGTCCATCTTCTCTAACGCTTTAATAACAACAGTTTGTAAGTCGATACCTAGAGCATCATACCCAGTTATATCAAATGTATACCCAAACGCTCCAACATCGTCTATATACTCAGAAATGTATTTTCGCATTCGTTTCACTAAAGGAGCGACAGCAGTTGGATCATCACCACTTAACTCAATTTGAATGATGGTCGTGTCGTTGGATACCATTGCAAGGGAAGTGACTCCATTCACAAATTCTTCAATTTTTGTTGTGGAATTCTGGTCAATGTATCTTCCAGCTATTTTCTTGACCAAATTTGAATGGGGGTCCCCATACACCTTTGCTACAAAATATTCACTGAACTCTTTGAGGTATGTCGAGTTGTTAATATCATCATTCTTCTCAATTTGTCGAATTACTAGTGCATCCTCGGAACGTCCAGAAATGTCTGGGAATTGCTCTTTGTAAAGTGCATTTGCGGTATACGCCAAAGTACCCTTTGGTGCAGTCACCACCATTGACGTGTGCATCAAAAACTCAAACGCACAATACGCCAACCCTAACGTCGTCACCAACCAAAATATTAATATCAACCATTTTAACTTGTCAATCCATTTGAATGTAAAGTCAAAGGATTTGCTTGCGTATGACGAGAAGAGCTCTCGTATTTCTGCAAAAGACTTCATTTTGATTATTGAGATACATCACCAATTTAACACACCAACTTCTCAAACTCAAAATAAAATCCAAATGGTTTTTTGGCATTTATTGGTCTCATTTGAATTATTTAAAAACACAGAATGTCACATTGTTTTTTATTAATATTGAATTAATATGGTTCTATTTAGTATAAAATATAGTTTGGCTAACTTATTTCTACTCCATAAAACATTCCATTAAAATGTTTTTTGTGAACAAAAATCCCTTTTTTGCAAATTTAGAATTATAATAAAAATAATTGAATTGGTTTATATTGTAAATTATACTATTTTAAATTATAATAGTAAAGACCTTTGAAAATGCCAAATATTTCGTTTAAAAAAAAACATAGAATTATTTTTCATGGTTAGATAAAAACTTTATGGAAGGTATTATTTTAAGTATAAATTATCATAAAAAACCGTTTAGATAATCTGTCAAACCATCCAATTTCACACCCACGAGCTTTTTATTTGTTTTATTAAACGAATAATTTCCATGTTTTGTTTTATACACATGCAAAAAGTAATCATTAAACATCAACCATTTGAATGAAAAACTCTGTAAACGTTGTACCTTCATTTTTAGACCATTGTAATGTAAATATCTGGTGAGCTTTTTCGAAACACCCCAAAATTGTTGTTTCAGTTTTTTTCCACGAGTTTTAATTATATGAGTTTTAACTCAATTTGTATGTTTTTAATTTATATACCATTTTCCTTTATGAAATCAAAAGGAAATACAATTGTTTTTTATAACAATCAAATTTGTTGATGATTCTATATTAATGACTTCTTGCCCTTTATTTGCTTCTTTTTAAGTTCAGCTCTGCAGCTTGCTACTGACACAAGACCACGCAAAGTACTTTCTGGATGACTTCCCAACAACATATTGCATTCCTCAACAAATTGCTGATTTGTTGAAACGTTAATAACCGAGAGTATCGAGTTGCAGGTTTTGTCGATCAATGGCCCATTGAGAGAAACGCCGATGTAATTTTGTATAGCAAGAGAAAACACTTCTTTGAGAGAATCGAAATTTGACCCAGATATATCAAAAACAATTCCACCAATACATGGGAAGTCTCCAAGAGATATCAGGCACCCATCTTGGAAAATGTATGGGTCAACATAACTCGACTTGATACTCTCCTCCACAAAACGAATTAGTTTCAAGTCAACACACGGTTGATTATCGTTAAAAATGAACAGTGAGAACATGACATTTTCTTTTGCTAAAAACAATGTTGTTTTAATGTTGTTTTTGCAAAACGAGGAGATTTCTACCACATCAAAACGTGTCCCAAAGAAGTTGTTCCTAACATTCATCGTTTCTTCGGAGTTTTGCGACATCGACTTGAGCGTGTCGAATTTTATTACCAAATCTTTCACAAGCGGTTCGAGGACACATTTCATCAATGGGTATTGTAATTTCACACTCTCACCAGTCTTTTTGTTTGTCAGAACAATCTCACAACACCGAACTATTTGTCATTATATGAACTCGGTTTATACTGATTAATTAAAAAACAAACTTGTCTGTTCGACGCAAAAAGAGATGTCTTCCTTTTCTGTATCAAAACGTTTCAGAATCTCAAGCACTTCATTAACTATTTCCTCCATTCGCAAATTTTTTATGCCAAAATTTCCTTCTTTTATGATCGTTCTTTCCGCCAAGATCGAAGTTACTTCTCATTTTTTGGTTTCGCCAAATTTTAAATATTAAAACTATTTTTATAGTTGTACACTTTGATTTTTATTTACTAGTGTGTATATAGTAATTTTTTTCTATATTTGTTTTGAACATTTTTACACCAATGACTTGTCCCCGAATAATGACTTGTCATACTTCTTATTTTTCTCACTTTTTCCCAAAAAACTCACAAAAAAGACTTGGAAAAAAACCTCTGTTATTCATAAAAACACCGCAATTCTATTTTCATTGCGTTTAATTATTTTTTTGAAACTTCAAAAATAATACTTTTAGTTAAATATTAATAGGAATAATAATTTTATTATAATTTAACTATAAATATTTGCATTTAAACTAAAATCGGAAAAATAATTTCATCTCCAAACTAGATGGAAGTCTTCTTTATTCTTTCCCTACTTTTCTTTACAGCCCAGTCGAGCTATTTGGAACCACAACCAATTACAATTCCAACATCTTTTTCGATACTGAGTTTAGACCAAACCGAAATAACAGAGTGCACTACAAACCCACATACCAATATATTTACAGCTGCTTATTTGTTCGACTCAATCAAGAACAGCCAAATCATTGTCACTTCTGAAAACTCAACTTTGTCGATGTTTTTGGAGGACCACACACACACGTGCAAGTCGTTTGTGTTGAATGCACCCGTCACCATTGACACGTCTGTACAGTACAAAATGGTGTTTTATTCAACAGAACAACTTGAAAGCCACGTCACAGTCAACTTGGCGTATTACAACGAGAGTGACCCAGATGGAAAGCAAAACATGACGATCACTGATTTTCCATTTTTCAGATACGTCACTGTCCCAGCAAATTCTTCTCACATCGAAGATTTTTGTTCAAACAAAGACACTGACCAGGACTACCAAGTGATATACGGCGACATGTATTACATTTCTGCTGAAGAAGATTTAACTTTGGAAATCAACACGTGTGGTCACACCGACATGCTCACAGCCATTCACGTGATATACGAAAACGGCGGAAAGTGTCTGAACTTTTCTGATACATATCTAACTGCAGACCTTCGATGTGGTGGAGGAATGGGTACCCGGGTTGTTGTTCAGGCTCATCCGCACAGTCCTCTTAGAGTGTATGCCGGCTTTTTGGTACAATCAGTCGAGTCTCGAGATTTCTTGTTGAATGTAACTAAACTTGGTGACGCCCCACGAGAGCAAGAGGACTGGGAGTTGTGGCTTTGGTTTGGTGTCATTTGTGGTGTTATTATCGTCTTTGTGGTCATAGTACTTGGTTCTATTATCATCTTCGAGCTTGTCCGAGAAAGAGCAAAAGAACAAATCTGTCATTGTCGCCGATTTTTAACTCTAATT